TATTTTTGCAGAGGACTTTTGAGATACCAGATGAACGTAAAAGCTACATACTTAGTTTGGCCGGCAAAAGATATAGAGGGTGGAAAAGTTTTTTGACAAACACCTATCTTAAGGATAAAGATGGAAAATTTCTTGAAGAGGCACCGGGACGGCCAACAAAGTATGCGACATTCATTGATGAAGCAGATTGGGCTGAGTTTTTAAAGCAAAGAGATGAAGCATTTCAGAAAAAGAGTGCCACGAATAGTAAGAGAGCATCCAAACCCGCGTATCCATACAAGAAAGGGCGTTTGGGATATGCACGCTTAGAGGATAAAATTGTAAGTAAATAGAAATGCGTTTTAATTAATTGTCTACATGTGCATGTTTTAATTGACGATTTTATCGTTTGTGTCAATGCATAGTTAGAGGAGACTAAAAGTGAGGAAGCTTCACTTCCTGTACATGTGTTGTGGAAGGAAGCTCGTGTGGGCAAAAATCAAGCTGTCGATCCCGATGTTCAGAGAGTTTATACTGAATGTGTAAGTATAATACTGTGTCTTTAATTAAATCAAATGTTTTTTAATATATAAATGATTTTTTATCTCCACTAATAATTATTTAAATGTAAATGAATTACAGGAGACCTTGTCGCAATCGGCATCCACCGGTGAGGAGAGCGTACTTAGTAGAGTACTAGATGCTCCCGAGTATCCCGGTCGGGTGAGGGGTAAGGGTCATGGTGTGACTCCAACCTCTTTTTATAAGAGTTCTAGGAGAAGATCAAATCTTACCAATGAAGAAGTGTTGCAAAAGTTGCAGGAATTGCAAGCACAGGTCTCTGAATTGCAAAGAGATAAAGATATGTATATGAGAGAAAAATGCAACACTTCATCGGTGAGAGATACTAGTGATAAGGCTAGTATCAACTATCAAAAGAAATTTCCCGAGGTAATTATAAGTTTTTTTCCTTACAAACTGTTCTATTTTATTAATGATAATGACTTTATATTTTCTATTTGTTTAGGGCATTTCATCTTGCCAACTATACTTATCGTCACCGAATTATCGACTAGTTGGCAAGGGAAAAGTGCACAACACTTCGGGAGATTTACTTCACCACAGACCCCTCCCTGATGGACACCTGAAAGTATCGGTGGATGTTGTATTAGATCGTGATGCGATTCTACCGGTACCCGACATGGTCTCAGAGACGACATTGCTGCGAGATGCAATAGGATCATTTGTTGCATGGCCCTCGGAGCTCATTACCATTAGTGATGAGGTATACTGAAAACGATTATGAATCATTTAGTTTTCGAATGTCAATTCTAAACCGTTTATTAATTATTTTTTACATTTTAATTTTAGACTGCTCCTATAAAACCCGCAATTAAGGGTAAAGGGATTTTACAGGAGGAGGAGTCTGTTGCATCACTAAAAGAGGTACATTTAAAGTGTTAATATATAGTCTGAATCTAAATCTGCATGATTTTATATTTTACCTAACTTATATGATTTTTAGGCATCCGCTCGGGAGTCACAACAAGTGACGCAGCAGGTTCGTAGCTTACCACCCACTGGTCCTCCGAAGCAAGCGGCAAAAAAAGGCGGTGCTTTTGTGCCTCGATACCGTTCGACACTCGCAACAATGGTTGATATGTCCGATTTGAAGGATGGTGGTTTACGTGAAATCAACATGGATGAAAGTGTCTTCGGTATTGAATTCCAGTCACATATTACATTTGATGACTTGGAAGAGATTTTTACCCATGATCAACTAGGCGTCAGTAATATGCACTCATACATCCGGTAATATTCACTCATCCGATATATTATTTAATTAGTCCCACAATATAATTTATTTACACATTTCAATGAAAATAATCTAATGTTTATTATGTTTTTATTTAAGGTTGTTGTATGACAGAGTGTTGCGCGGGACTGCATTGTCTGACAGATTCCGTTTCGTGTCTTCCGCCCATTGCAGCGGAATGACAATTGCTTCGGAACCGGAATCAGTTAGACAGCGCTTAGTAGATAGATTCATGTCCACCGGCAATACAGAAAGTCTGCATCTTTGGGCGTATAATACCCGACCAGTAGGGTTAGTTTCTCATTCTTGGTTCATCTAATCTCTGTTTCTTTTGTGTATAGCAAAATTTTCATATAACCTATTGTTTTAATTTATAGAGCACACTGGTTGCTGCTTGCTATCAACCCGATAAGAGAAGTCGTGTATTATCTGAATTCGGTAAATGGTGAATGGACCAATTATCCGGCTATGAAGGAAATCGTTGATTTGTAAGTGGGATCGTTCTAAATATATATTCGTGTATATTTATATATTTTCTTATTTGTGGGATTGATTTAAACATATGCTTTTATATATTTAATAATTAGATCAATACAAGTGTTCCGTAGTCAACGGGACGCACAGGTATCCCGAACTAAATCGAACAACATCACTTGGATCCAAGTGCAGGTACATTACTTTTCACAATTTTGCTTATAATATTTATGCTACTTGGTAAAACAAGACAACTATAGAATCTTATTTGTTTTATTATGTAGTGTCCGCAACAGCGAAACAGTCATGATTGCGGATACTTTGTTTTGAGGTTCATGAAAGAAATCCTTCAGGCGAATCAATTAGAGATTCCGCTCACGGTATGAATTTATAACTTAAGATAATTTCATATAATTTATTACATTTAACTAAATATATCATTTATATTATGTTTTTGTTTTGTAGTACCTTGACGAATTCCGTGCTGCTGCGTACCCGAAGCTTAAGTTGGAAGAAATTAAAGAAGATTTGTGTCAATATTATATTAGGCAATTTTTCATGTAGGATTTGTGTCGATTTGAACTATAATATTATTGATGTAATGATGTATATATATAATTTTGGATATTATAATGGTATTATATTAGTACATATATTGTCTTACTGATGGCTGAAATAATAGCGTCGAAAATATATTACAGGTCAAAAATATATTACAGGTCGAAAATATTACAGGTCGAAAACATTACAGGTCGACTGGGAGGATTAAATTATAGGCTGCACATAAAAATACCTCATTTAGAAACGACAGCGCTTTTAAAAAGCGCTCTTAAAGGTCCACCTACTAAAGCGCTTCTTAGTAAAAGCGCTGCCAAAGACCAGTAAAAAAGCAAAAAAAATTAAAAAAAAACGCAGCCTACAAAAGCGCTTTTGTAAAAGCGCTCTGGTAGGCCCCCCTATAAGAGCGCTTTTTCTGGAAAAAGCGCTCTTATAGGGGGGCCTACCAGAGCGCTTTTACAAAAGCGCTTTTGTAGGCTGCGTTTTTTTTTAATTTTTTTTGCTTTTTTACTGGTCTTTGGCAGCGCTTTTAAAAAGCGCTCTTAAAGGGGGGTCTACCAGAGCGCTTTTTCCAGGAAAGCGCTCTTATAGGGGGTCCTACCAGAGCGCTTTTTCCAGGAAGCGCTCTTAAAGGGGGGGTCTACCAGAGCGCTTTTAGAAGCGCTTTTGTTACCTACGCCAGCGCAAGCTTTTAAAGCGCTTTTAAGCGCTTTTAAAGGCCAAAATAAGCGCTTTAGTAGCCCTTTTCCGTAGTAGTGTTTAGGTATCTTATTTTGAACAAAGCTAAACCAATCTAGAGATCTACACGATCGATGTTGGCAAGAGAATCTGCACAAGCATTGGTTTTTCTAAAAATGTGGGAGACCATAAAATCATTAGAATTAAAAAAAGAAATTAAGTGATCCGTTGTCACGGACGGATCAAAAACAAGTTATTTTAAAATGCAGTATAGCGACAATGGCTCGAGTCGTATCGCAAGGATTCTTGATTTTGTTATTAACTAATAGAAATCGAATAGGGGGTTGGTTTTAGGATCAATTTATAACATGAAATAAGTGATTATCAAAATAAGCTAATCTGCTAATTCAGTTCATACCTATCATTGATTATTATAACATCGCTGCCCTAAGCAGGTACTATTCCTGTTCGATCACAATAACATTCCACATAAGTTATAATAAATTCATGTATATGTCATCACAGTTAGAATCTACAACCATGTTGAAATATTGTGCGCTACTTGTTTCACTATGGTTGTGATTACAACTGTGGTCAAATGTATAAATCACCATAAATATTGGTGTGGAGTATTGAACTCATGAACATTCCACCTTTTACTACGATTGGTACTTATAACTATGGTCAAATATTATGCGATATTCTATTTTTACTACGACTACTAGCCAATGGTAAAAAATAGGACACTTACTACCACACCCTTCATTACCACGAACCTCCAGTCATAGTGAAAATTTGTTTTTGTAGTAGGTCCTTTCAAGATGAATTGTATGGAATCATTCTTGCTATTGAATATGCTAACAGGAAGAATTGGAGAAATCTTTGTCTTGAAACTGGTCATTTGTGTATTTTCTAATTTGAATATTGTCCCTTGACATCTTTGAATTAAATAGAAGAATACTTTACATATTATACACTTATTTAGATTCAAAATATCTCATATTTTTCAAAGTGAGAAATATATGTGAAGATATTTTATCCAAAATAGACTTTTTTTTGTTGATTATGAAATATGTAAAACGCACTAAATAAAATACATGAATGTAAAAATAAAATTAAAATAACAAAAACAAAAACAAAGTAAATTTCTTTTGAAAGTAAATTCTGCAACAAGTTTTAAATGTAGAAATGTAAAGAGAATATCTATAAATCAAATAAAAGTTAAAAATGTCACAGTAAAGATATGAAATGTAAAAGTGAAAGAAAAAAAAAACAAATGATAACGACACACTTAATCAATATAGAGAATAAACAATTATCTACAACGTTGAAAAATTTCTACAACACATTATTAAATTGCCTTTATACACTGCCATCAACGACTATGTTGTGTGCCACGCAATATTATGTACGAGTTAATGCATTCTAATATTATTAGAGTGTACAATGATTATGATGGAATATAATTTCTCTTTCACTTATTATAATCTCTCTTTCATTTATATGGATTGGGTATAACAAATTCTACTACTTCAGACTTAATATCGGTTTCTAATGGAAATAACTTTTTCTTATTTTCCAATTCTCTTCTCTTACTCCAAAGCACTGCATATATGCCGCATACGATCAACACTGCTCCAAAGACACTGTATACAAAAAACTATATAAAATCAAACGACATGTCACGCAATTGAAAGGTTAAAAATGATATAATAATAATGTATATTTGAAGCAAGTAGGGTTTATGATATACCTTCCTAAATATAACTTCTCATCCAACAACAAATAGGCAGAAATAGCCACAAGTAAAAGCTGAAGAGGATTGAAAACTGATGCAAATAAAGGACCTCTTATCTTTATGCACCAAGCAATAACAACAATCAGTAATCCAGAAGCTATAGCTCCCTGCATTAGTATTCCCATGTTTATAATGACTATATTTGAGCAGTAAATAGCATGCATATATTAAGTAAGTAACAATGTATGTTAAGGTTTTTTCTTCCATTTGAATCCTACAGGTTTTAATGTGTAGTTTTTAATCCTTAGTGTTGTTTAATATAATCTTAGGACTAATCAAAAGTTTATTGTAAAGCCTAACTAAATAATTATGTTTGGGGTTATTATTTTGCTAAGATAGGTGTTTAGCTGGATGAAAGTTAATTAAGATTAACTAGCCTTATTAGTTTACTTAATCACCAAGAAAACCATTTAGGAAATGTCAATGGATCTATAAAGCCATGTGTCTTATTGTATTAGAAGACATCAATCATAACACGATCATTCTACATTTTCTCTCTCTTTCAATTTTTCTCAATTTCATTAGTTTCTTGAGTTACAAGGCAACTAACGAAACTTGATATTATGCTTTTGCAAATATTCTTTGATTCTTACTCATAGAATATTATGAATCCACCATTTTCACATTTTCTCATATGTTTTTTCATTTTGTTCAAATACATTCAACTTCCAACTTATGTATATACATTGATAAATCACACATAATCATCTTTTGTCGGGGTGTCATCTAAGTGAGATTTGATGACATCAATTAGATTTTTGTGTAACTGAGAATATTGTGTTGAGAATTGTGAGGGGTTTCATGCGAAAAAATCTAGTGTTTGTCCTCCAAGATCTTTGGTAGATTTGGGGGTTTTGTACAAAACTTTCAAAAGAGGATTGTGACCAAGTGAAAGAGCTTTGGAGTTTGGTATCCAAAGAAGTAGCGAAAGAACGACGAATCAAATCGGAAGTGCTTGTGTTCAATGAATACAATTGATCGTGCGTGAAAGAGCTTTGGAGTTTGGTACCCAAAGAAGTAGCGAAAGAACGACGAATCAAATTGGAAATGCTTGTGTTCAATGTATACAATTGATCGTGCGTGAAAGTGCTTTGGAGTTTGGTCCCAAAAAAGTAGCAAGATTCTATAAGTTAATTGGTAGTTATTGTGTCTTGGTCTTTCTCAATATCAAAGGAAGAGAAGTGGTTGAATCAACAACAAACGTTTAGGGTTTGTGGGGTTGCTCTTGGAACACTTCTCTTATATAGTAAGAAATTTATCTCAATTCTAAAACGAATTTGGAGGGAGATGTAGCCATAACGAGGACGATTGGTGAACTTCCTAAACAAATTCTTGTGTCTCTCTCTCTTATCTCTTTACTCACTTTTATTTTTTCATTACGTAATTTATTAAATTTCATTGATTGATCGATCGACTCGTACGAATTTTTCTGTGGTTGTTTTTGTTTGAATTGACTTGCTGATTAGCTTATAATCACTTTGATTATAAGTTCTTTTTCATATCAACAAAACTCAAAATAAAATTCTAAAAATTCGATCGCACACCAAGTGTTCGACAAATTGTATTGTTTTATATTTTTGCTTAATTACATTGGAAATAGATTACTAGTGAATTGTGATAAACGATTAATAAAGCGTTGATTGTTCTAAGTGCATTAATCCTCTTATTAACTCTTTTATTCCATAAGGTTTGTTGCATATCCGAGTTCCAATAACCAGGTTCGTATAGACGACTTTTATCGATCTATATTAAAACCTTCTGTTTGCACTCTTTTCAAATAAATTTTTAAATATCAAATTTTGATTGATACTTTTGACTTGTTGATCTATTCACCTATGTCCCTCTAGATAAGTTGTTGTCGTCTAACAACATCAATATAACCACTACGCCAAAAATGATTTTTTGTATCACCTAATTTAATAGCACTTTTAAAAAAAAAGCTATTAAAATGGAAAAAACACATTTATAATAGCACTTTTTAATCGGGCGCTATTATATAATACAGACTATGTAATTTTGATAGCACTTTGTACCAGAACGCTATTATTAAACTTCTTTAAGATAGCATTTTGTATAAAACGCTATTATTTGACTACCTATATAATAGCATTTATTAAAAAGCACTATGTTATATATAATAATGAATTAATTAATTAATTGATAAAAAAAAAAACACATTTTCAGAAAATTGGGTGTTGGTGCTATTTAAGAAAACTTTATGGGTGATTTTGACAGTTGCACGTCCAAACAACAAGACTGGAGACACCTCCTTGTCAATCGTCTCTGAGCTTTCCGATCTCCGCCGCTCTCAATCCGTGTCACTCCCGGTAAGTCATCCACCACCGTTCTCCGTTCTTTTCTCTTCTCTATAGCTTTGCCCCACTTGTATCAATCTCATTATCTCTTCTGGTTTGCCCGCAAAGTGTTTGATAAATGTTCTGACCATGGTTTTCTATCAACCTTAGAGAAAGAGGAATCATCAATAACACTATTCATTCTCCTCTAATAGTTTCCCTTTCAAATTGCTTATTTCTTTTAGGGAATAGTATTATGATAATTTGCTTACAAGCACCCAAAGAGTTCAACAAAGAGTGAAGGTTGGACCACAGTATGGTCCAAACCTGATAATATATGTCTTTATACTGTCAGTTCTGGTAGTGGTGTTTGTGGATACAATAGCTTCTGCACTTTGGGACAGGATAAGAGACCAACGTGTCAGTGTCCAAAAAGTTACTCTCTAGTTAATCCTGATGATCCATATGGTAGCTGCAAGCCAGATTTTATACAAGGATGTGAAGAAGATGAATTGAGTAAAAGAAAGGATCTCTATGACTTTGAGGTTTTGATTAACACTGATTGGCCTTTCTCAGATTATGTGCTTCAAAGGCCTTTTACTGAAGAACTGTGTAAAGAAGCTTGTATGGGAGATTGCATGTGTTCTGTGGCTATTTTCAGGTTAGGTGATAGTTGTTGGATGAAGAAGTTACCACTCTCAAATGGGAAAGTTGATCCAACACTTAATGGTGCTAAGGCTTTCTTGAAAGTGAGAAAAGATAATACCTCCCTCTAGTCCTTTGATTTTCCTCCATTTCCAATCATTGCGAACAAGAATAATAATAGGGAAACGTTGGTTTTGGTTGTTTCTGTGCTTTTTGGTAGCTCTGCTATTCTCAATGCTGTATTGCTTGTAGCAATATGTTTCAGCACCTCCATGATTGTTCAATACAAGAAGAAGCTTAGAAGAGTTAGCAGAAGTGAAACTAGTGTTGAAACCAATTTGCGTTGCTTCACTTACGAAGAGCTTGAAGAAGCTACTAATGGATTTGACAAAGAGCTAGGAAGGGGAGCTTTTGGTATAGTTTATGAAGGAGTCGTCAACAACAACACATGTTCCGAAACTCGTGTGGCTATGAAAAAGTTGAACAATTTTTTGTTGGATCAAGCTCATAGAGAATTCAGGAATGAACTGAATGTCATTGGTCTCACTCATCATAAGAACTTAGTTCGTTTACTTGGATTTTGTGAGGGTGGAAGTGAAAGATTGCTTGTTTATGAGTACATGAGCAATGTCACTTTGGCAAGTTTACTTTTCAATGCTGATGAGAAACAGAAACCAAGTTGAAAACTAAGGCTTGAACTTGCAATAGGAATAGCAAGGGGACTTGTGTATTTACATGAAGAGTGCATTACTAGGATCATCCACTGTGACATAAAGCCTCAAAATATACTTCTTGATGATTACTTCAATGCAAGAATTTATGACTTTGGACTAGCCAAGTTGATGAACATGAATCAAAGCAAAACCAACACTGGCATTAGGGGAAAAAAAGGGTATGTTGCACTTGAATGGTTTAAGAACATGCCTATCACAGCTCAAGTGGATGTGTATAGTTATGGAGTAGTGCTACTTGAGATTATTTCATGTAGAAGATGTGTTCAAGAAATGGAACAAGAAGATGAAGAGAAAGCAATATTAACTGACTGGGCTTATGATTGCTACAAGGATGGTGTTGTAGATGCATTGGTTGAGGGTGACAATGAGGCATTGGATGACAAAGAAAAGTTGGAGAAATTGGTAATGATTGCAATTTGGTGTGTTCAAGAGGATCCAGTTCTTAGACCAAGCATGAGAAATGTGATACATATGCTTGAAGGTACTGTTGAAGTGCAAGTTCCACCATACCCCTCACAAATTAGTATTCAATATTCTCTAATTTAATAACTTGGTTTGCAAGATTTGCAGATTGTGCTAATCCTTGTTTTATTGTTTTAATTGAAACTGTAAAATTTGAATTTATGTCTGTGTATCAAGCTGTGGTTTTTTGTTAACTTGGTTATCATATGTTTTCTACAAAATAAAATGCAACGTTAAATAGTTTACATATTATGATTAATCTAATTATATTTTACTAGATAGATTACATTTCAAATCAATTTCCAGTTTGTGTGTTTGTACAATATTATGATTAATCTAATTATATTTTACTAGATAAAATGCATTTCAAAACAAACTTTCTGTACAAAATTATATTTTATTAGTTTAGAAGATATGGCACAGAAGATATTGTACTGTACTTATTAAAAATATTGTACCAAATATGTACCATTTATTAGCACTTTATTTGAAAGCGCTATCAAACATATGTTATATATTAGCGCTTTTTGTTTAGAGTGCTATAAAAAAACAAACAAAAAACATGCAAAATACTGACTTTGATAGCACTTTAATACCGCTTTTAAAGTGCTATTAAATAAGAAATATTTACAATAGTGGCGCGGTTAATAGCACTTTTAAGCGCTATCAAAAACAAAAAAAAAAAGCGCTATTAAATAGCTTATTTGGCGTAGTGAACTTTCTTACATTGTGACCCCGACAGAGAAGTATACATGAAAATACCTCATGGGTTAAAACTCTCTAACAAAAACATTGTTTGAAAACTTAATAGATCTCTTTACGGTGTTAAGCAAGCAAATGGGAAATGGAATCACAAATTAACTCAAACCCTTATTGAATTAGGCTTCACTTAGTCCAAATATGACTACGCCCTTTCAATAATAATGCTTACAATTATTTAATTGTCATTCTTGTTTATGTTGATGACTTAGTTCTTCCAAGTAAGAATCTGAACGAAATCAATCATATAAATTATATTATGAATTAAACTTTTAGCTTAAAGGACCTTGACAATCTCAAATATTTCTTATGTTTTGAGGTTTCTAGATTTCATCATGGAATCTATCTGTGCTAACACAAGTACAATCTCGATCTCCTACAAAACTCAAGCCTCCTTGCAACCATGTTGACTGCGACACCTATAGACCCTAGTCACAACCTAATATGAGACAATGACATACCACTTACTGATCCAACACAATGTAGAAGCTTCATTAGTAATCTAATTTACTTAAAAAAATTTCGCCCTGGCATATGTTTTTGTGTATGCAGGCTCAGTTAGTACCTTTCCAACCCCACAAAGATACATATGCAAGAAGGTGCCACCGAAATTCTCTGCTACATCAAAAAATGAGCAACTTAGAAATGACTCTTACAGGTGTTGCAGACTCTAATTTAGGATCTTGCTCTATCACAAGACGTCTCACCTCAGATTTTTGCTTATACCTCGAATCATCTCTCATCTCTTGAAAAATTAAAAAACAAAATGTAGTTTCTCACTCTTCCTTTGAAGTTGAATATAGAGTGTTGACCAACTCCTCTTGGGAGGCCTAATGGCTAATATATATTCTAAAAAACTTTGTCACCCCTCACCAAAAACCAGTTAACATCTTCCGTAATAATCAAAGTGCAATCTACATTGTCACTAATCTAATCTTTCACTAGTGCACAAAACGCACAAAAATGGACGGTCATATTATTCGTGACAATGTAAGGTGACCACCTTATGCAAATTGACTCCCCCAACCAAATCGTTGACATCTTTATCAAGTTTTTACATTTGGGACCTTTCAACAATCTTTACCAAACTTAAATTGATTGACATTCGTTCTAGTTTGAGGGAGAATGTCAAACTATAAATAATTTATATTTATCTGTCCTTTTATTTTTTGTTATCTCATTAAAGAATAATAGAATTAGTTATAGGTTTGTTGGAATTTAATAGAGTTGTTAGACCATTGTCCTCATCTAACCGTTTTCCTTTAAGCTATTTAAAGCATAGCCACCACTTGTATTGATTAAGTATATTTAAAAACTTTAATTGTTTGTTTTTAAATTTGTAGAAACATACCGAATAAACAATAGTGAGAAGTCTGATATTGTAATCAAGCTTCCATTGGCTCCATTCTCTATCAAAACAAAGAGCAAGAACAGTGGCTTGTATTGCTCCCATTGTTGACATCAAAGCTGTGCTTGAATGATGGCTTGGATACTCTTCATTCAACTTAGTCTTTGTGAATGGACCCAAAACAGCAAAAACAACTCAAACATCACATTCATGTAAAAACAATTCTATATAAAATAAAAAAAATCATTTAACTTGATTTAAAGGTTCAAGCACATTTACTTCAATAAAACTAATTAAGCTAACCTGGATAATTAGCCACAAAGAAAAAGAGCAACAACTTCCTATGCCACATGGAACACCCAATAGTTTACTACTAAAGTTGACAGGTATTGGTTCCACAAGCCCATTTTGATCATGAAGTGGATGCATAAGGTTTATATTGGAATTCCAAATATTAATTTCTACTCCTTTGTAAAATATCATTAGCATTGCCCCACCAATGCTAACTATTGTTCCTACCACCTTGGCCTTTCCCTCTGCTAATCTCCAATTTAGCTTTTCCAATCTATGAAAAATAAAATATATATAACAACAAAACAGAAAACAATCAGTTTAGTTTTATATATTATGTAGTTTT